AAACATTCATCAGCTCTGTTTAACTCTGTAGCATTTAACGCATTTTTTTTAACATGCAAAGGTTTTTATACCTTTTCTGCATTTTTAGCTGTAAATGTGATTCCTTTTCTGTCCAAAATTTTGCCTGAGTATTCTGAAACTGAGCGACAATAGTTCATAAATTTAAGATTCAGATCACATTTATACCTGGTTAGAAGTGTTTTTCATATTTAGGTCAACTTTCTGACAACCTCTATACCTTCTAGTTTAGAATGCGTAAAGTTTTTTTTTAGTTTGGACAAAAGGTGCGACCAGGATTCCATGCCAAAATAACCCAATTTTCGTCAAATTCTAGCTCGATTTTGCCGTCTCCCTCGTTTGTCGAATTGTTTATGCTTCGATTGCACCCGTGGATGCGTTTTTTAAGACCGTAGTAGGAAGTATATGTTAAATCAGTCATGGATCCGAAACATTCCTTTTTATTTGGCTCCAATCGGAGAACGTAAAATTCCGATAAAAATTATTGATGCATCAGAACGAATCGCCAATCGCCCCGAGTGTAAAAAACTGTAAAAGTAAAATCGTAATTAATTAATGGAATAAAATTACTCGTGGTCCTAATTCATTAAAAGTCTCCAAACAGAACTAGAATTGCTCCGAAAAACTGGAATTGCACTCGAATATAACTAACTGTTGGATGTAGTTTTTCGGCTTACACTGTAATTTTTGGCGGTTTTCGCTCTTGTTGCTCTTAAATCTAAAATGAAAAATTCAGAATTTTCTGAAAATGCGTTCTCTGGTTTTCCTCTTTAATTTTGTAGCGCTTATCGTAACTTTTTTTGAAAATATGGAACGATTTTTATTCCTTTTCTGCATTATTTACTGTAAATCTGATTCCTTTTCTTTCCTATTACTTTTTTCTAATTATCTTTTCTTCTATTACTGTTTCATCTGTTTCCGGCCGTCACCTTACATAGTCGGCTTTTATTGTGTTTGCGTTTTTTATTCGGTTGTCCGAGTCTTTTTTTCCTCAAAGTTGCAATTTTCATCGTTTTCATGTCTCTCATCTGGTAAATCACTTCGGTAATTTTCTTATCACTGTATTTCCTTCAACTCTCTCATTATCTAAGTTACTGTATCTCGTTTTTTTTATTTGTATCACGTGAATTACTTTTTGGACCACTATTATTATTTTTGTAAATTATCTATTACAAGAGAAAGTTCAATGTCATCTGAATGTTCATCATGGTCAAAATTTACCTTTTCAAGTATTTGTTAGTATAGAATTACTGTTTGGAGTTTCCATAAAACTTTGTTTAAAATTATAAAGCTTCTTGAACTTTTATTCATTCGGTAAAACGTCTTATTGTCCGGTTTGAGTAAAAATAAATATTAAACTAAGTCTTGTCATGAAGTTGTTGAGCTTATTTTCTTCGTGAAAAAATGTAATGGCATCAATGTAAATATATGTTTTATATAATATAATTTAGTATCTTGCCTGAAATATTTGGCAACGTGATTTATTAATTATATCTACTTGACAAAAGATGCGATTTTTTTCTTTTTTCTTAATCAAAACCTACTACTTAAAATTGATCTTTTGAAAACCTCTGTTGTCTTACCATCCGTATAAACTAATTCAAATACAATAATTGTTTAAATTAGACCTAAACTGAAATAATTTTTTAGTGAAACTGTGATTAATACTTTCGCCAATTTTTGGTCTACTTTTTATAGAAACAATGCATGCAAAAAATATGCTTCAAACATGCGACACTTTCAGAGCATCAATTTATTTATTTACTTCGTACGTCCATAAGTACTTCTCCGTAGCACTTTAATGTATACACGATAATGCAATAACAATTTCGCTTAAAACAGGACTTTTACTTTTATTGACTGACCGCCAGTGAGGAAATCTGATTGACAAATGTCTCAAAGAACCGCTTGAGCCTTAAGGTATTGGAGAAAACTATTAACACATTTTTAAACTCTTTTGTTTAATTGACAAATAAGACGACTTGTTTTATGTAGATGTGTTTGTTTAAGTCGAATAATCATAATTTATGGTAATTCGCGTGCAAGAGTTTGTTATTTCGAATGTTTTCAGGAAATCATGGAAAATTTATATAATTTGTTATCTCTTAGTCAAATTTCATGTTTGTATATTTCCACGAATTTTCTTTATATGATATCAGTGAACTGCAATGCCTCTTAATGAGCGGTGATCCCATAAATTACTGGTCTGTGTGTCTGTTGATCTTTCCTGATGTTCTTTAATTGAAAATATTATATGCTTTTTGAGGATTTTAAAGATTAACTTGAATTAAAATAGTGTTAACTAAAAGCCATTTTCTTTGATTATAAATGACATGACGTGAAATGTTAAATATTTTCAGAAATGCGCATTTTTTATTGTCTTGTCGCAATTTTCAGTCAAAGGTTTGAAGATGTTTTTGGATTTATTTCAATGAAATCTGAAATTTCTCAGACATGTTTAATTTTTTTTAAGTTTAAAGATTATTAAATCCTCTTCGCTTTATTTTAATATTTACAGATTTTTATAAATATATGTTTATTTACTTGATATTTAAAAAAATCTATCTGATTTATTAAACGACAAACATATGTTGATATATGATTTTCCCATTAAAACAGTAAAGTTTTGGGCCGTGGAAGTTTTACTTGAAACTTTTTATTAATTTTTCATAAGAATTTTTTTTTAAGACGAATGAACTAAAAATATTTTTAACGAAATTTTACGGGGTTCAAGTAAAAACGAATTTAAATATCTTGAATAAGCGAAAAAATATAATTAAATTTGGCAAAATCCTTTAAGTTTTAACACCGGAAGGCAGAGGATAATTGACCAATACATACTTAGTAATAATATTAATAACGATAAAAGTAGCAATAACTAGTAGGATAACTAAGGGTAACACCAGAAGGCAAAGAAGGAATATTAAAAAGTAGCAATAAATGTAAAGGAATAAAATAGGGTAAGTAAAAAATTGAAAATCAGAAAGTAAATGATATGATTAGTGCATTTTTAGCAATAATATTCATGTTTAAAAACGAAAGTATTTCGCAAAGAGGTAGAAACTCCATAAAATTGGAATTTTCAAGAAACTAATTCATGAGAAAAACAGAGTCGAAAGGCCAATTTAAAGCAATAACAGCTAATTTAATTTGCTAAACTTTTTCTCATGCACATGGTTAACACGTTGAAAAGAGCGAAAAAATACACTTTTTAACTTAGTCCTACTTATTAGCGAAAAAAACATTAATAAAAAACTGAAATTTTTGAAATTAAAAATATTCGTAAAATATATTAAAGCAAATTAAAATCACCATAAAAAAAACAAAATCCAGAAAAGTTCCTATTAAACAGATTCCAATTGAAATTATTGGGTTTATGAAAGCTCCAATTGATATTTAAGATATTTAATGGGGATAAAGGGGTGATTATGATATATTTGATATAATAATAAAAACCCTGATAAAATGTTATAATTCCAAAAAAATATTTACAAATGAATTTAGATTCGGTGTGCTTTCTCAACCGTCTCAACCTAAACAATAAAGTTGCGTGCCTATGCGACTATTAAACTCTTTAGCATTTCGCTTAGCGAGTTACCGTTGACATTAGAAGAACTCCTAATTTTCCGTAAGTGGATTGAAATCAAAGAATTTGAAGAATATTTTTACTAAATTTGAAGGGTTAATTTATTAAGAGAAACTCGTACTAAAAGATTTAAAATTTTTATTTTATACTGTTGAGGTCAAAAGAAATGTAAAAAGTCTGTTAGTTAAAGTTAATATTAACAATTTCAAGTGGTAAATTCCCACATTATCTATGCACGTGGAAGTTAGCCTTGGAAGAAAGTGTTTCCTGCTGCCGGTGTGCAGACACGTCTGTTGTCAATGATGTCGGCAATTTGAACCCTTTCACTCTTGCAGAGATTCTAACATGACTCTGGGTCACTGCCAGCAACCATGTTGCCAGTTGAGTTTAATTTATTATTATTAATATTATCATTATTTTAACAAAAAATATATTATGTTCTCGGTCATAAGCTGATCTAGAAGTATTTACGTATAGCGCGTCCATCAAGCTCTTTGGAATAACACTCAGGATCAATTTAAGTAAAGCAGCATTAGATAAATCATTAAAAAAAATGACTAAAAAGGAGGAATAAAAGTAATTTGAAGTTTTCAATTAAAGCAAACTTTGCACACGGAAGCTCAACTGCCGTCACTCTTTCATAGCATTGATTCGAACTAACGCTAACAAAGGAAGACACTTTTGGATGTTTTAAAGTAATCGGTTAGTTTATTGATGTCAATTTGTTTCTCAGTAAATTTCTCTTTAAACTACCATTTTATGCAAATGTCGCAACTTTTCATGCAACTGTCTCAACAAACATGTTTGTTAAATATCCACTTTTTATGGCTCTATAGTTAGAAATAAGTGTTATTTGATTGAAATCAATGTTATAATATCAAAATAGTTTGTTTGTTACTTATTTTAATTTGTTTCTTTCAACTTATTGACTAAATTATTAGGACTTTACATGCAAAATATAATAAAAACATTAATAATACAGCTAATTTAAGGGAGTATTGGCAGAGGTAATATTAATTAAAGTAAACAAGAAGCAATGTTTGAAAAAAATTATTAAAATTTAAAAAAATTTCTATTTTTCAAACTGTTACTATAACAACCAAATAAAACACAATTTGAAACTCTAACAAAGCAGTTTAACATGAAATAGATACATTTAAAATGCAAGATGTTTTTGTTTTTTTTGGATTATGATGATTTAAGTGAGCACGCGTTTTCCTTATCACTGGAGCAATGGGGCAAATAAACACTCTCACAATTTTCTATTTTCAAATAGAAAATTTGTTGTTTATTTACCATCTTCAGTGTCTTAAGTATGCAATTGTGCAACACTGCGGTACTTAAGAAGATATAGTAAGAAGGCGCGCGAAAATACTACTAAGTAGTCATACTGCTCCCATCCCCACATCTTAAGTAAAATTATACGGGGTGTTGTCTCTTGTTTTGGCCATTTATATAAATCCGAGGTGGATTTCTTTGGTCACCGCATTCAGCGAGCAAAAACGCGAAGGTGCGCCCAGAGTCATACGCACCATGGCTTCAATTATTTTTGTAAGTTTTTATTTTTTGTGAAGATTAGTTGTGTCTTGTTTATGTAGCCGATTTTTTTTGCCAACATTATTTTTTACTCAATTCTCAATCAACTCCACATTTAATACATTTTTATTTTACTTACACAGTAGAATAGTAAATAGTTTTTCAAATTAAAAGTCGCTGTTTAAAAAAATGTGTTAACTGTTAATTTTGTTTTTCGATCTAGTTTAGATACATTTTTTGAACCATTTTATTTACCTTAACAATTTTCAATCAACATTTTTTTCAGGGCGCACTACTGCTTTGTACGGTTGTGGTTTATTCCGGAGCTACTTTTGGTGGGAAAGAACAGTAAGTTTAATTGATATTTTCACTAGTTTTTACCAGAATTAAACTTAAGCTTAACTTTTCAAAATTAATAGGAAAATTATAAACTAATTTATAACGATTAATAAATTATTTAGTTTTAGTTGATTAGAAATCAAAGAAAACAACAAAATTGTTAAAGTTAGATACCGAATAATTTTTCGCAAAATAATTATGCAAATTGTGAATGACTTTCGAAATGTTTAAATGCAAATCCTGCACTGCAAGCAAATAAAGTTTCCTTAACATTCATTTTTCAATAGCTCCGCAGGGTAAATCAAACACTAAATTTTGAAAATAAAATTAAACTAAAAAGTGCTCTATAGATTATAATTTATTATAATTTAAATAATATAAAATCGCCAACAACGAGCAAAAGATACGAGTAGAAAAGAAAATCTGTCACGTTTTCACTTTCCTTGCGGAAACTTATGTTTCGTTGCAGCTAATCGATGATAATTGTTAATTCCTGTTTCTATGATTCGTAACTTATAATTATCAAGTTTACAACACGAAATAATTAGAAACTTCAACACATGTGTTCTAGAGCAGCAACTTTCTACCAACTGCTTATTATCGGTTAAAGCAGTGTAAGTGATTAAAAAATTAATTAGAAATTAAAGTCAGTCGTTATGGCAAAACATTGCCAAATGGATAAATTGATATAACTTAAACGGTAAATTATAAACAGAAGCAAACATTTCATATATAATCTGGTGATCCCCAAGGCAATTAAGAAAGAAAGTTTGCGCTGAATTACGAATCAAATTTACGTGATTCTCTCACGGGTTTTTCCTCCCATTGTTGACTCAAAAGAAGCCCATAAATGGTAAGATACTTGTAATGAAGCGCCTTAAGAGTCATTATTAGCAAGGCATTTAAAAGGCGCTTTCTAATGCATTAAAGTATTTTTATTGAACACCAAATATGAACTTCTATAAATGTTGGTACTTTAAGCTATAACTTCGAGTTGTTTAATACATTTTTTGCTTCTGAAATCACAACGAAAATACAAGTTCAGTTCGGAGTTAAATCAAAGTTACTTTACTGGTAACTCAAGTTAGGAAAATCTAAGAAGAAGCAAGAAAAAGCGACATTGTTCAAAACTTTATGTTTTATTTTTACCGCAAAAAATAATGCTCTATGAAAAAAATGACAAACAAATTTCGAGAACACCGTATGCAAACAATCTTTAAAGGAAATATGAACATTTTTATTTTACAGTGTGCATATTAAAATCCACGTTCCCGAGCCAGCCTCCAGCCACAAAGTCGTTAAGCAAATAGTGATTCATGATCATGGCGGAGGACATGGCGGAGGAGGAGGAGGTGGTGGAGGATATGGAGGAGGTGGAGGAATTGGCGGAGGACACGATGATCATCACGGAGGAGGCGGTGGTGGTGGATTTGGAGGTAACAGCTAATTTTTCGATAGAAAAAATTCTCGGAGGCAAAAGGTTTTGAGGGGGTGATTCACTCTCAATGAAGTAGAACTCCCTATAAGGCAACATCAGCAAACTTAAAATTATTATAAAATTTTGGTTTTAAGGAGGTTTTGGAGGAGGATTTGAAGACCACCACGGCGGCGGAGGTGGAGGTGGTTACGGAGGAGGCGGCGGATTCGGTGGAGGATTTGATGACCACCACGGTGGCGGCGGATTTGGAGGTGGCGGTGGATTTGGCGATGGAGGATTTGGTGGCGGTCACAGTGACCATCATGGAGGCGGCGGTGGTTACGGAGGAGGAGGTACACTGCATTTTTTACTAGAAGCAAAAAAAAAACAAATTTTAATTAACAAAGTAATTTGAAATTTTAGGAGGAGGCGGAGGTGGCCATGGAGACAGTGTAACCTATACAATTGCGTTGAAAGATCATGGAGGTGGTGGAGGAGGAGGCGGAGGATATGGAGGTGGTCACGGCGGTGGTCATGGAGGCGGCTATGGTGGAGGTGGAGGATATGGTGGTGGTGGAGGACATGGAGGAGGCCATGGAGGTGGTCATGGCGGTGGTGGCGATATCCAACTAATTCAGTTACACGGTGGAGATCCTCTACCTAGTGGAGGTAACTGAATTTTGAGAAATTTTCAAGCAATAACTACTTACTTCTCCATCGCATGACATTTGCAGTTTTTCTCGATAAGATTGCGGATGCAATAGCTTAATGTTTCCCGCAATGAAAACCTTTTATTATTTTTAGGTGGAGGATATGGAGGAGGTGGAGGATATGGAGGAGGTGGAGGATTTGGAGTAGGCGGCGGCCATGATGATCACCATGGAGGAGGCGGCGGAGGCTTTGGAGGCGGAGGTTGGTACTTTACGGCTGTTCATTTTCAGTTATTACATTTAAAATTTTATGATATTTAACATTAAATTGTTGATAATTTACTACTACTTTCTATTTGACTTTTGAACGATTTCTCTTAAATTAAGGTGGATTTGGTGGAGGTTTAGACGACCACCATGGTGGCGGTGGAGGAGGATATGGAGGCGGCGGCGGATTTGGCGGAGGTAAGTTCTTGAGCAATTTTTGATGCCAATAAAATTTACTTTACATGAGCAAACTGAATTGCGTTCATACAGTTTCTTGTGTATCCGTAGGAGGAGGTTTTGGAGGTGACGACCACCACGGCGGTGGTGGAGGCGGATATGGAGGCGGCGGTGGTTTCGGAGGCGGTAAGACTTCTTCTGAAAATATTTTCTATTCAAAATTAATTATGAATTTCATTATAAATATGTTATTGACTGTTATACATTTTGTTTCATTCTAGGTGGAGGCTTCGGAGGTGACGATCACCACGGAAGTGGCGGAGGAGGTTACGGCGGCGGCGGCGGATTTGGCGGAGGTTTGAATTGTTTCTATTCTTAAAAAATTACTCAACACTCTTGTTTGGCTTTGAGAATTCCATTTTCACATTAAGTCCTATTAGTAAACGGCAGTCCCAAACGCCGTAACAGCTCGGAAAAACATTTACTTGAATTGAAAAAGTAAAGATGTTTCAAAGTTTTGCTAGCTAAAATGTATTTCATATTTATCGGATGACTGCTAAGTGATATGCTGAATTATGATGAATGATTCAAGATGCTGTACCGAATGCTTCATTTTTCATCTGGCCTTTTTTAAATTAGTATTTCTAAACAGTGCATAAACCCTATAAAGGTAGACAAAAAAAAGAAATATATTTAAAAAGCAACAAATTTATTAAACTCAACACCAATAACCATTAGCCTTAACCTTAACATTAAAAACAAATACAATCAAATTTTAAATTTAATCTACAAAATCTGCTTAAAAAAATGTTCTCGCTCGAAACAAGCAGCATTTAATTGGCTGATTCTGTTTTTCTTTAAAATAATTACATGAACACAGGTAGAATTCCACTAGATAATGAAATAAACAGAAAAAAAAATAAAACACTTAACAAGGCTGAAACAAAATTGTATTTTCAGGCGGAGGTTTTGGAGGAGGCCACGATGATCATCACGGAGGTGGAGGAGGCGGCGGCTTTGGAGGAGGTAAGTTTTGAAGCACAACTCGTGCTAAAGTAAAATAAATTATTAATACCTCAGATAAAAAAATAAGTTGTGCTTTCAGGCGGTGGTTTTGGAGGCGGTCATGACCATGGAGCTGGTGGGGGCGGATACGGAGGAGGCGGTGGCTTTGGAGGAGGTAACTTTAACAATTTCCTTAAGTAATAAGAACTCGATAATTCATAGAAAAAATTAAACCAGGCGGCGGACTCGGAGGTGGCCATGATGATCACGGTATTGGAGGAGGTGGATATGGAGGCGGTGGTGGAGGAGGATATGGAGGAGGAGGCGGCGGATTTGGAGGTCACGACGATCACCATGGAGGTGGAGGCGGTGGATACGGAGGCGGTGGTGGAGGATATGGAGGAGGCGGAGGCCACGGAGGTGGTGGAGGAGGAGGCGGACATGGAGGAGGTTGGGATCGGAAATAGCTCTACCTCTAAACAAGTTCTTTCAAGTCGTGTCAGTATTAATATAAATAATTTGAACACTCTAAGCGCATACTGGAAAATTTATAATTTGGACTGTCTACTAAAACATTGTTTGAGTGTATATTTTTGGTTTTGCGTATGTATTTTCAGGTTTAATTCTTCATATTTATAAGTGGTTCGCCTTAAAGTTGTTCAGATATCCCAAAAACACCACACTAAATGCTCTCTAAAATAATCAAATTAAAGTTGCTTAGGTCAGAACTACACTTAATGCCGCTGTAGCTCATTGTGATTGTATATTATACCATCTTTTTGTAAATATTAGGTTGCGAATGTGTCCGTTGTTATTACTTATATCTGTAAATATTACGTTTAAGGATGTTAATTATGTTAAATAAAATTATTATATTTTTTATACGAATGGTTTATTTATTTGGGTGGTGGGAAAAGGGTTTGGCGCCTGCAGGACTGAAAAAATAGTATTTCATTGTTCTTTAATAAAAAATAGTACAATATTGATTTGTAATATGTTGGCAAATTTTCACCCAACTTAGGGAAGAAAAAATCTCTGTAGAATTAAGGAAAAGTTAACGCATTTTGCTCAGGCAACATCTAGCAAATTTTGATTAATTGACTGTCCTTTGTCTGATATTACTTCTACAGATAAAGTTGGAAAACCTTTAAACTACTGACACGCACAATGGCAGTAAAGCGTATATTTCTAACAATTATGCAAAATACGTATTCTAATTGCAAAGAAAGTAAATTCGTCTCTCTTTGAGTAGTAAAAATGCAGAAAGTTTCTTCCGCGCAGTAGTTTGTCATTATGCTCGATTTAACATGTAATTGTTCCTAGAATAACATGTAATTTTCTACTACATTTCGTTGCTTGATCTATTCTGATTTACGGATGGAAACACTTTAGATAGACACGATCAATGATAATAGCAGGACTTTCTTTCGATATGCAACAATAGCAAAATTTACTTTGTTGTATACATTTTATTTTTTCCGGCTGTTTTTGATAGAAATTGTTGAAGGTTGCAAAGTTTACTGTAGTTTGATGAACTTTCCTGCTTATTTGCTTCTGTTAGCATCCATGTAATTTTTTGTATTAAAGATAATTCATTGTGTATATTTTCCTGACTGTATTTCAACTTAATTCAAAATAAATTCCTGGGTTCCAGTCAATTTTATTGTTTACTATTTAAAATGTCACAAAACGTTTCGGTGTTTTTCTCCTCAGTGGCTTGCCAAATGTGAAGGAAGAAACAACCATACATACAAACTGATGATGGTGGAGAAAAACACCGAAACGTTTTTGTGACATTTTAAATGGTAAACAGAAAAATTGACTGGAACCCAGGAATTTCTTTTGAATTAAAGATAATTCATACGCAAAATATGTTAATGATTAATAATAGGAATGGTTAGGTACATACTGAATAAAATAAAACTTAAATTCGAAAGCTACTTATATTATATTAAAATTTTTCCAGATGCTTTAATATTTGAAGAATTTTTCAATGTGAGCAGGGAATTAATTAATAAGCTCCTAAATTTCCTTAACACAGATGAAAAGTTATAAGAAAAAGCAAAAAGACTCAGTTAGACTTCGAGCCCATCACTTATTTAAACAAATTTATTAGTTACGATTAACGGAGCTATTTACAACTAAATATAAAATAAAAAATCATTGATTTAAATTTAATTTTAATCGGTTTAAATAGTAATAGTAATGAAAGTATTCCTATTTGATTTATTTTTGGGCATACTGAGGCATAATAAAAACACTTTAATACAATTTTCTGATAATTTAGAAGCATATACATACAAAAAAAACCATGTAACGTTTTGAAACTTTGTTAAACGTTTGAAATTTAATTCTGCAAAATTTTGCATGCATTAATCTAGAACACTTTCCGATTGAACATTTCTCTCGGAAGTCGGTGAGATTCAATCAGTCCGCAGATAGCAATGCTTCAGCTTAAAAAAATCAGTCTGCTGTTAATTTGTATGTAGAATTGCCAGAACATAATCAGTGCGTTAAAAGTAAAAATTTCAATTTTTTCTACGAAATAACAGCTTAATGCAGGAAATAGTTTGTTCTCGCAAAATCAGCCACAGCCCCACTATAAGAGTTAGTTCCGAATTTATTTATAGGAAAGTATAAGACGAGTTTCTTGATAATAGCCAGAGAAATCGTCAGTGCCGGTTTTCTTGGTCTTGTGTCTTTTCAAGGATATTTGATTCAGCATGACGCTTATTAGAGTAAGTAATTAACATTCTTCGTTTATCGTGCACCTGTTGCCCATTTGTCAGACGTTAAGAAATCACTTTATATTGTTTTGATTAATGGTCCTGTTTTCCAGTGTCGATCTATTATTGATTTGTTTGTTAATTTTGGATTTTTTTTTGGAATTTGCTACTTGATCTGGTTTTTTGGCTAATTTAGCTCTTATCTTATTATATAAGATACCGACAAATTTAAACAAATGCAAGGGTTTTAAAAAGTTTGTATCTAATAAAAGGTGTGTGAGTTTAAATGGAATTGGCCTTTCTCACGGCTGCTTTTTATATTATTATGTTAGTAATAAATTAAAACTTAGTTGCAAAAGCTGAAGAACTGCGTCAAATATTTTAGTAATGTATGTTTCAACTTACAATCAAGCAAAACCCGATTTAAAAGCTGATCTTTTAGAACTTATCGATGTCCAATTGAGCAAATTAATTATCTTTTTACAAATACGGTGTTTGCCAATTTCTTCCAAAGTTGTACATGTTGACTGATTGATTGATTGATTGAGACCCGATGGTAACGTCTTGATATGAAATGCAGATGCACACGCTTAGAACATGTTTTCTTTACAAAAAAATGCGAAAATTGTAATTAACACCAAATTTTCACTAATAGTTTGGCGAGAAAATTTCATATTTTCTACAAATTGCCGAATTGAAACGAAAAACTAATTAAAGATTCCTTCAGTTTCTTCAGCGTCAAAAAACGTTATCAAAATATTAATAATTCAATAATTATTTTAGTTTAAATGATCTTAATAAAATGGTTTTCCATATTTAGTTACTTCATAACTTTTTTATAAAATAATGCTCTAGAACATGAAACTTCATCATTTTTATTTGTAAAACGCGTAAAAGAGCTGCATTTTTTAAGTATGTGCTTGTAAGATCGTGTAATTTTTTCTTCTTTTTGCTTTTCTATTCGGTATCATATTTAAATACTTTTTGAGAGTTTATTTTCATATCAGTCCTGACACTGTTAGCAACTTTTCTATTTGCTTGAATTATTTATCTTTTCTTATTGCGCTTAATGTAAATTTTTAAATTTTAACAAATTCTTAGGTTGATTTCTATATAATTTTAAGAGTAACTTTAAGAGAGAAATATGATTAATGCTATTTCACTAGCAAAATAATATTTTTGCAAACTCACGACTTTTTACATTCCCACATTTCGTGTGGCAGTGAATTGTTAATTACATATGTGTTTCACTTTTAGTATCTAAATCTCTATCGATCAAATTCGCAAGAGAATTGCTAATTTAATTTAAAGATGTTGGCACTGTACATGAAGAAAGAAAGGCAGTTGAGATGTTGTTTTACCAGTAAAAGCTAAATGCTTGATCTTTTACATTTTCAAGTGATTAATTAGTTAGATAGAAATATGTGTTCGTCCATTTAATTAAAGCACTAAAATTGAAAATGGACGAAAGACAATTGATATTGGTAATGGCTAAAGTGGATTACTACAAGTATCTAATATTCAATTTATTTCAGTTTATGAATGATTGGATTTCGAAGTATTTACTAGGACAGGTTTAACTAAGCCCGAAATTTATTCTCTCATAGAACTCGGTCTTAATCAAATGTACTATAAATAATTTTCGTTATATCATAAATACTTACGCCTTACGCTTCAAATGATATAAGAAAAACATGTTGGGCAAATTTTGTTTCTAAAGCATATGCGAAAGAGCGACGATTTCGATTCGATTCTATTATCGTCTATGCACAATATGTATTTTTTAAATCTTGCAACTGATTTAGTTGTAGTAAAAATGTTTATTTGTTAGCAAATGCTATCGGTCTTTTTGCCCTGGGTTAATTACAGAGTTTTGTAAGTAAAATTAATAAATAATGTATATAATGTGCTTAATAAATAAGTATATAATTTAGATATGGACTGATTTAATAGTTTTGCTTCTTTGATATTTCTCTGTTAGTTTAAGAACGATCTTCATTGCTGCCTAGCTCAAATAAACAGAGCTAAAAGCGGCATAAAGCAAAAATAAATTTGAATAAAACCGAAAGACCTGTATAGGTCGATAGCGCTTTTGCATAACAAATAAAGGTTATTTACTGCAACTTCTATTATATTTGAAGATCATTGCAAAATAACTAGCAAGAAGCAGTTCTAGGGTATAGATTTTGGAGAGTTACTTAAAAAACCAAATTTATTAATTTCATATCTATTACTAAATTTTGTTGTTATGCGTTTCCTGAAAACAAACTTTTCTTATTTCTTATATGATTTTTAGGTAATTTTTATGGCAACTGTGGGCTTTGCTGTGGTAAATTCACTGCCTGCAGGTGGATCATACCAGTAAGTACAAACATTCACATTAGACCTAAAACTGAGATTCAAACAGTCCACAAATTAAGTGATAGTTTAGAAACCATGGCATAATTAAAAAGCAGGAAATTATCTAAAAAAACTCTGCTTGCTGAAGAAGTATAACTATTATCGAACAATAATTAAAAGAGATCAATCTAGAGACAAATAAAAATTCAACTAATCAACTAAGGAACAATTAAAATTAACTAGGCAAGATTGCGAAAGTGCAATGAAATCAACATATTTATCTTATTATTATTTCACTATTCCAATATGAAAAAAAAACTGATCTTAGAGCGTGACTGATCTTAGTGAGAATCTTAACATTTATATTAATTCAATGTAATTTCAACTAACTTCAAAGAAGTGGAGAAGATCATGCAGTAAAAACCATAAACTTTTTAGTAACTTAAGCTACTTTAAACATTTTTCAAATATGCAGAAGCAATAACAACACAGACACTTTCTTTTAGCGAAAGTTATTGCACATATTACGCAACAATTGACAAATCCCTTCATTGAAATTAATAATGTGACCATTTTTAACAAGACCAGGCAACATATGGCAAGCGTAAGATTGACTTCTTCCACTTCAATGTTAATGTTAATATTTCGAATTGATGCTGTTGCCTATCGGTAATGGGTAGGTAAATTTGTAAAACGAGTCATTATATTTTTGTTATTGACTACGTAGCGAGAGTTGGGTTTTCTAAATACATGAATTAACTAAATAAATTGGAAAATTTTCTCCTAAGTGGTTATTGAAATTGCCAAACAACATCTTCAGTT